AGAGTGGGAGAAGAGGGTTGCATTGACAATCCAACACAATGGGCAGCACATTGAACACATTTTATAAGTAGTGAAAAACTTGTAAATAACTCATGAAAGAATAAAGGTACGTTGAAACCAAGCACACCATTGTTTTTCTTGTGACATTACCAATACGTTTGATGTGTCACATGGCCCTCTTCCTATTGTAGTTGTATCCAAGATGGCCGACTTCTAAATGGCCACCATGGTCACCACCCATCTTGAGGAGTTTGCCTCCTCACATATACTAATGTGCCACAAACAGGACTTTAATATCACCAACCATTCCCATTTTATTACGGTGTAGCCATATAAATGGCCCACCCTGTAGATTATGGCCACTAGTCATGGCTTCAGTATGCTGGAATACTGTAGATAGTGAAAAAATGGTGGAAATGAGGAAGACCTCAGAGAGGATTCATGGATGTATAGAAGAAGGTGAGGGTAGATGAAAAGTTGGAAAGTGTAATAAGTAATGTAGATGTTTTCTTCCTTAGCAGAGTCCTTTGTGTTCCACGTGCAACCCTGTGATGTTCATCGTGTGTTTATCATCATAAACCTCTGACTGAACTCCCAGCTGATGTCTTTGTGTCTCCATGCATCCATATATGTACTCCCTTTTAACCCTGTAGGCTAGCCTCAGGCATCATAATACAAACTTTGTCCTCACTGAAGCTTTCTCTGTGTTTAACACAACAAAGAATTCCCTGAACATTCCCTGAACTAGCATGCACTTCACACACATATTTCAGCCCTGCAGCACAACTCATGACTTATTCTCTCTAAAATGACAAAAAGTCAGGAAAGCCAGCTGAAAATGCTGATGAAGAAACAACAAATTACAGACTTGGACTCACATCTTTTATTTATTGATTATTTTACATTTTAAATGCTTTTGAGACTGAGAGTTTAATAAGTGATTGGCTCAGTGCTTAAGTGCAGCTGTTTTTGTGCTTCCAGACACACTGACTGAACTTCAAGTAGCTCTTCCTTTAGAAACCATATTTTGTAAAAAGTATCTGCTGCTTAATTAAATGAATAACAATCCTGCCATGCCATTACTTTATATCCACGTGTCCAGGAAAGGCCCTGGTATGACTTAAAGAGGTTGCCAGCGAATCACAAGCCTCCGATAGCCAATCCTCCTCCTCTTAATGGGGCTAAATAAGATTTCTAATACAAGCTCCCTCTTGGGACTTCTCAAATTTAGTGTTTCCGAGTTCTTAACTCAACCATGAAACATGGAGTCAGAGAAGGCCTGTCTGGCTCTTTTCTGTCATCCTTTTGCAGCCTCTAGCAAACAAAAGCTCCCAATAGGAGACATTTATCCCTTGGGAGTTGCATCATGAATGATGTTGGGTGTAAAAATCTGTCAAATCAAAAATATGTGGAGCTACCTGCTGTGGTGACCCCTTATTAATAAGAGAGTAGCCAAAAGTAGCATTTTTACAATATTGAGCTGGACTTGTCAAACAAGACAAGCTCTGCATGGCGTCTGATCTAAAGGCTGTCTGTTTCTGAATGGACTGCTGAATGGTCTGTTTCTGAATGGTGGAGGAGGTTTTACTTTTAATCTGCATCCCAGGCATCCCTGGCTGTAGAGAAAGATGGAGAGAGGGGCGAAATACTGTAAGCTATCCATAATTCTTTATGAGACAGTGTGAGCCAAGACTAGATAGCCGCATACATTTTAAACTAATAGGTTAATAGGAATAAGCGGTAAAATGCATGAACAGCTCAGAGCCAAGTAGCCTACTGGAAACAGAGTGAAAGGTGTGGAAGAAAAAGAACTCACTTTGATTCTGGCTACAAGCTACGTTATCCTTAATGAATAAAAGACACTGTGCAAAATGATCATGAGCAATCAGTTAAATCAGTTAAGTAAACAGTTAAGCAATCAGCCTAAGTTAGGAAGCAAACGGAAAAATGAAAACAGTAGCAGATAAAATGCAATAACAGACATAAAGGCATAAAAGAAAAAACTAGAATGCTAAAGAAAGATGTGAGCTGGATGAAGAAAAAAGAGAGCGAGAGAGATGATGTCGTTTATAGAAGTAAATCTTGGCCCATTTAGTGCTTTCTCAATAAGGGCAGTGGATGAGGGCCAGTCTGGAAAACAGTCATCGTCATTATTCACATTAGACTAAGTGCTCCACTTCTCTGGACAGGGGAGGGGAAAAGAAGGAGAGCAAAATAAATGGGAAGGCCAGACATTTACTGTGGCACCCTTAGCTCATATGAGAGATTGCCTGGACTGAGAGTCTCCGCCTACCAGTTATGTCCTTGCTTCTGTCCTTCACCACTTAAGAGCAGATCTCATGGGGGAAAAGTGGATAAAACCAGAGGGTTTTATTTATTTATTTATTTTTTGATATGTCCTTACTAGTTAAAAATGAAATGAACCACATTTCGGAATAAAGGAGAAATGTCTTTATTCACACTAACAAGAGAAAATGCAGAACGTTTGCAAAAACCTTACAAACACTCAAATTTGTTGGTTCTTTATATTTTCAGAGCAATCCTGTGAATCCTAGAATATCACTGATTATGTAATGTTCTCATTCCTGTGTGGCACTGACACCATTGCTAATTAAACTGGATAATTTATTAGGTACACCTTGCTTTTATGAAGTTTGACCCCTTTTTGCCTTCAGAACTGCTTTCAATAAGGTGCTGGGAACTCTTCTCTGGGATTTCTGTCCATTTTAACATAATAGCATCACACAGCTGCAGAGTTTCTGCAGAGTTTTTGGATACTCATTAATGAAGTAAATCTCCTGTTTCACCACATTCCCAAGGTGCTCTATTTGATTGAGATCTGGTGAGTATGGAGGCCATGTCCAAGAAACCAGTTTGAGATAATCAGAGCTTTGTGACTTTATGTGTTATCCTGCTGGAAGCAGCCATCAGAAGATGGAACCACTATTGTCATAACGCGACATGGTCAGTCCCAAGAACATGTTCCCCAAACCATTACACCACCAGCATGAGCCTGAACCAAAAGAAAAATCTGAATCAGCTTTCTGGGAACAAAGTAACAAATTAAAATTAAAGGTGCAATCTGTAGGATATCTTCTGTGCTACTTTTTGATCCTGTAGCTGCAATAATAACATACAATCTATACTTTAGTGACATTTCATTGAAATTAATTGAATTTCTCAGAAGATTTTCTTTAAAAATATAAACACTTTCCACTTAAACAGATTTTGGA